GATTGACACCCTCGACTTCGTCGTCGTCGTTCGAAAAACGACATTTTTCGCCCTTGTATCGAAAACTACTATTATATTACTTAGGCGGCAGCGGCTCATATGAGACAACGGCTTTTTAGCACGGATTTTCGGGGAATGCTTCATATCAGCTGCTGCCAAGCAATGGTTTCTTTAACTTAGAGAGTTTGACCGATTTACTGTTACAGAGACTGTAATGTATTTGCAAATAAATGCTTTAAGTTTTTCAAGTCGCTTTTCAATTGACGACCCTTCGGGTCGATTGGACTTTTTGCAGTTTGGATAGATGTGGCTTGGGCCCCGGTTTTAGTGCCCCCCAAGTCGCATCTACAGCGTTAGTTGACTTAGCTGTAGCATGTAGATTTACTCGCTTTTCCCCATCTGGTTCCCCTATCAGAGGAGTGCGGGTGGGTGGACAGGGTCACCAACCAGCTCAAATATTTGGTGCCTAGAAATGGAAATGTCTGCCACGGTTTTTGCAAACTGACCTACAACAGATTAATGGATGGGGGCAGTCTGCACTTTCCAAACCCGTTATCCACTCCCCATCCATGCTGCATGTTCATGGATGGAGGCCAGGTAAGTAGAGACCATTCGCCCAGACATCTCCATTTCTGGAACCAACGCATCCACTTTGCACTGAACCCAGCAGGAACTAAAATACGCTTTTAATAGCCGCACTTTTTTAGCCCCAAACTCTAGCCATTGACTGTGGAAGCGGCAGCGACTGCCCTGCGGATGTCCACGACGTGAAGAAGCAGCTGGAGACGCTGATCGAGCACAAGTGCAAGCAGATCGGGAAGACCAGCTTTAACGGGAAATGCAACGCCATCCATCTGGAGCAGTGGATGAAGTCGCAGCTGGACAACGCCGAGCCTGTTAGTCCCGTGGTGGAACACATCGACGAAGTGTGGACTGAAGACAAGCTGCGAAAGAGGAGCGAGGAGCTGCAGTTGATTGACTCCAAAGGTGCGTTCAAAACTCGTCGGTTTTGCATAAGGAGGGTTACATTTGGAAATGTTTATCGGGCTTTGAAGCCGTGGTCCATGGGAATTTCTTCCTGACGTTTCGTCCACAGCTGCGGTGGACATTATCAAAGGCGATGAGGCAGTGGGCGAGACAAAAAGACAATTATTTCAAAGCTCCATGTCTTTCATACCTTCTAGAACGGATTAGCTGAGTTGTTCGCTCTTGAGGATCTATTTGTGATTAAGGAAAATAACTCGAAAGAACGGGGAGTTGGTTGGCTAAAACACACATCAAACTAAATGAAATGATTAACACATTCTCATTCGAATGAATCAAGCGAAACTGAATTTTCCATTCGAGAACGCAGTTGGCATCGGAAGTCTCCCTCGAACCCATAGAAGCCCGAGAGAGATGCAAGATGGCCAGCGCGTTGCTACGTGCCAAGTTGATACCTTTACGGCTAAAAAACTCAGTTTATACTGAAGCGAATCTGAGACAGGGGCGGATCCAGCTTTAAATTCAGGGGGGGGGGGTTATGTAGAAAAAATATAGTCTTCTGTTGTCTATGAAATTAGAAAAATTATCGTCGTTTTGTGCAAGGGTGTCGTAAGATTATTGCAAAATTTCATGTTTTCCGTCCCTTGTATGTTTCTCGGAAGCAAAATAGAGCTCGTTTTTACATCATTCCAAAGAGAACTAAATGGCCTTTTTAGAAAGGGAACCATCGATAAGGAAATGTTGGCTGTTTTCTCAAAAATGCTTGAATTCAAGAAGTTTTAGATTTGCGTGTTTTTTTTTTAATTGCAAAATCCACTTGAACATGACGCTGCTTTTTTCGAAGTTTCTCAAGAGCCATTCGAGCCACAGAGTTCGTTTTGGCATCGTTGGATAGAGAATTGAAAACTCGCTTCAGTCGTAACAA